GAATAATGCCGAGCTCCCTGAAGAAAGGGAGAAAATTCATAGGACAGAAAAGGCGCTAATGATAAGCACGGGGCCACAATGATCAAGAGAGTACGAATCTGAATCCGTGGCGGGGAAATGAGCGAGACTTTGAAAGGACTAACAGGAGAAAAAGAGATACTCACTTAATCCAGGTGTGAACCGCCTTTCCGTCGACCACGAGCGCAGCGTTCTCGGTCCTCTGTCGTAGTACCCGCGGAGCGCATGTTCACGTGCAGGTTGCGGTCCGTGAGCAGGCAGAACGCCTTGTCGGGGCGGCCGTTGAAGTCGAAGTGCGTGCCGTGCGCTCCCACCAGATGCGGGTCGTTGAGGACCTTCGGGTGCGGGTTGCACTCGCCGCCGATGCGCACCTGCAGCGGCACGGGCTTGGTTTCCGTCGAATACTGCGCCGTCATTTCTCCGCAGGTAAAGTCGATTTTGTCGTGGATGAGGAAGCACGCGCCCTTGCCCTTCTTCCCGTCGATGGTAATATCGGGGATGTACTGCCAGTACGTGCACTGGGGCATCCCGGCGCACGTGTTACAGCACGACGCGGGGTTCGCCTTCGTGATCGTCAGCGGGTTACCAGGTTGGTACAGCTCGTAACCGAGCTTGCTCTTCTGCAGGTACGAAGTCTTCCACTTGGCGGGGATTCCACCCCGGGAGCAGTTCTTGGGCGTGCACGCCGACGCGCGCTCCTTGTTAAGTCCAGGCGGGCATTTCTGCGCGTTCCAGCCGGCCTTCTTAACATCGGCCATGAACATGGAATCCTGCGCCGTGTCGACGTATGTGACGCCGGCCGCATTGCCCGTCGCGGCTTGCTTCGCGATGTCCGCGGGGACTTGCGTCATGAGCCCATCGTCCTTCTTGCTGCTCTGGTCGGGCTTCTCGTTCAAAGTGGGGCTGTTGATGGCGGCCTTGCCGGGAGGAATGACGACAGGTGCAGGGGTGGAAGGAGAGGGAGTGGATGGCGCAGGAGTGCTCTTCGCAGGAGCTGGAGTAGGAGTAGCAGGAGCGCCCTTTGCAGGAGTGGCGGCAGGAGCCGCAGCGCTGGCGAAAGCGACGAGCAAGGTGAAGGAGATCGCCAAAAGCGCAGGCTTAGGAGTAGCCATGCTGTAAGGAATCTAAAACGAGATCGCCGTCTCACAAAGACGTTCTCGATGAGGGTGGTTTATAAAGCTGAGTGATGAGACTTACGGGTTGAAGAGCCAACTTAAATGTCAAAACGAACGTGTAAACGAGTGGTTGAGTTGTGTGTGCGGCGTCGAGTTTCTGCTGATGCTTCGAATCGCAATGTCTCTTTCTGAGAATTCACACAAATTTCGAGTCGCAGGCGTTTCAGGTCTGCGATGCTCGAAATGAATTTGGCCGAATTTCGATAGAGCAATGGCGAGGCGGCCCGACGACCACACTTATCACGGCGGATACAGGTGGGGCTTTCACTTATCACAAAAGACATCAGCCGTAGTCGCGTCGCGTCTCACGTGGACCTGGACTGATCTGGCAGAGGAATGAGGTGAGGGGAGGATGCTGCTGCCGTACTCTTCCACGTCGATGATGCTGCTTACCTGTCAAAATAACAGCCACGTAGAGATTTGTCCTGCTCGACACCTGGCGGAGTGAGCCGAGGCTAGGGCGTGTAACCTACGGTTTCGGAACTGAGTTCCGTCCGAGTTTTGGTGTGGTGACAGATATCTTCGCACATAAGTTCGTTAACCGTGTTGCGAATGATTCTCCAGTTTCGAGACTCGATGTTCCAGCGTCGTCTGGACGCCAGTTTCGAACGGTCGTCCGGACGGCCGTTCGAGAATCTCCCTCCAGTTCTGTGCGAAAAGACACGCGTGGCCTGCGAGGGAAAAGTACACCACGTCAACGAACGAATTTACTCGCGCGCCTGAACCGCCAATCGCGGAAGTGACAAAATGTGTGCCACGAGATTTGTCATGCCTAGCGTTTGATTGACTCACGAAGGGTTGGGTTTCAATTATTCGCATATTACTTTTCGCACGTCGTTCAAACGTTTGATCGATGGAACATCCAGTTTCGAAACTCGATGTTCCATCGACGAACGGAACTGGCGTATATCGAGTTCGGAACTGAGTTCCGGAACTAGGCCGACAAAACCGTAGGTTACCCGCCCTTCACACGCAATGGCAAGCGGATGAGACCTGAATTATCCCCTGGGAGACTGTACATGGTGGACGACAAATTTGGCTCAACGACAAAAGCAGGCTTCGAAAAACCTGAATTTAGGGCCACATTTTGTTCAAGTGCTGTACCTGCTTGTACAGTTTTGTGCTGAAGTGCCTTACAGTTAACATGCTGTACAAAGCAGTTTCTCGTTCATAACACCTATGGTTCTCTTAGATTTCGTTCTCCCGTGGATTTCGGAATAGATAATATTATACCTATCTATGGAATTTCACGTCAATATTTGCAAAGTTTCTAATTGGTTCTTTATCTGCAGTGCCATTTGAAGCAAGATAAAATCTCATAACTTCCATGCCATTAGACAAAAAGACTTTTTACGAAACTAAAATTTAAAATACCGGCAAGTTCATTTTAAAGATGAATAAGTGTCTAACTACAAGTGCTTAGTTGTGAATTTTTGCACTTCTATACCAAAACGATGTACATCTTGAATTGTAAGAACGTCCCATTCAAAGCTTCCCTCCATCCCGTTCCCACCCTTCACTCGTGGAAACTCGCCCTTCGATCGTTTCGGGCTAGCTAGTCACTAAGTTTCGACAGATTTCGTCCTAGTGTCGCAGGTAGAGGTTGTTCTCCTGAAAGGCTTTTCTGAGAGTTAATTCCTCCAGGGTCGTGCGATCTCTTCGACCACGTCAGCCATGCCGCTCGGTCAGAGAGCCGGCGATTGCGAGCGAATCGCGATACGGCGGTGCCGAGGTCGCTTATAGCGAGGACATCCATCACACTTTGGCTTGCGAACTTGGCAGGAGGCTTCGATTTCCATCGTCGCTCCCCTAGTACGCTGCGAGCTGCAAACCCTCCCTCGCTCCCCCATTCCGCCCTTCAATCCCTCCCAAATCTGGATCACACCTCAAAACCCTCGCCTTCATTCCAGATTGAATCCCTCGCCTCGATTTCATCCGTCTATTCTCTCTAGTACGCTGCGAACTGCATACTCTCTCTCCCTCCTCCCTCCTCCCTCGTCCCTTTCTGGTTCACACCTTTACACGTCTTCCCCTCGATTCAGTTCATCCTCGCTCCTCTATCACACTGCGAGCTGCTCTCCCGCCTTCCCCTCCCTGGCCTTCTAGATCGCACCCTCACACCCTCTTCCCCCTTTGCCTCCATTTGCTCGTCCGCAATGAAATGCTGGCATTCCCGGATCTCCGATCGGCGAAAGGGCGCTTTCATCTGGAACAGAACCCGAACTCTAGAAAACCAGCTCAACTCGTCGGAGGCTGAACCCGCCGTTTTATTGTGGGGAACAGCGCAGCCAATTGAAGGGATGTTCCCTGGTAGCTGCAGCAAAACCCTCCTCGATATTCGTTTCTGGCTGTGCTCGAAGCCTCTGATCTGATGCGACACGAGGCGCATCAATTAGTTGTGTGCCCGCCATTCGCGGGGGGTCGGATCTGGTCCTGAGACGTTCCTACGCTTTCGCATTCGCCCTCCTTAACCCCCTCCCCACCACCCCCCACCCCTCCCCAGACCGATCCCTCCTACCGTCCCAGTGAAAGCCAAGCCATCGGCAGCAGGCGGGCGGTGGTGCCGCCTTTCGCGGGGTCGGATCTGGTCCTGAGCCCTTCGCAATGGAGCAGCCACGTGGTCGGCAAGCTCTCCACGTGGGCTGACGTGGACTCGCCTGATTCGCTGATGCGCATCTGACAGCGAGACCGTGATTAAACAGGAGATCAGCTGGGCCTCGCATTTGTCACTCCAGGTTAGTGGGTTCGGGCTGTTGAGATTGAGTAAGTTTGAGATGGATGAGGGTTTTGCCGTTTCATAGGGTGTTTAGGTGCATCAAAATAGTTGATGAGCCGGGGGCCTCGCATTTGTCACTTGAGGTTAGTGGGTCAGTCTGTCTGGATCTGGGCTGTTGAGAATGGGTCCGTTAGTGGGAATCAGGGTGTATCAAGAGTCGGACAGTGATTTAACAGGAGATCAGCTGGGCCTCGCATTTGTCACTTCAGGGGAGTGGGTCGACGAATCGGTCGCATTTGTAAAACCAGGCGGTTGGAGGCCAAAGGTGGAGATGAGGGTTTGGTGGGGATTCAGGGCTTAATGGAGGATTTTAAGGTTGCTCTTTTCAGGCGCCTGGAATCAGTTGCCAAACACTCACCAACTGTTTCCAGGTGTGCCTTCCCTTCAACTCACGCCAAGGTTCTGGATTGCGGTAATTACTCACATCTTCGGTGTAACAAGTTATCATACCCTCATTTTTATAGTCCTATCTTAACCCCCGACCACCCTCTTCAGGCGTGCCTGCTCCCCACGCCCAGGCCCTGGCCCTGCGGCAACTACCGCACCATTCTCTAACACGTTTTCATTTGCATGCATTAAAACCCCAAACCCCTAACTAACCCTCTCCAGGCGTGTCTGCTGCCGACGCCAAGGCTCTGGACTGCGGCAACTATGCGCGGTGCATCAACCAAGTGCTGCAGGGGCTGTCCAGCATGCAGGTGCGCGTGTGGAGCCGGGGGTGAAGGGGTGTGCGTGTGTGTGTGTGTGTGTGTGGTGTGTGTGTGTGTGGTGTGGTGTGTGTGTGTGTGGCGTGTGTGTCCGTGTGTGTGTGTGTGTGTGTGCGCGCGTGCGCATCAACCAAGATGTCCTCGGGGTGCCTCGAACCTGTTGTCTTTCCTTCCCCCACCCCTACAAATGCGCCTGCGCAGGTCCACTGGTGTCACCGACCTTCCCCCCCTACCCTCACCACGCTCCTCCTTCCTGCCCCTGCTGCTCTACCCTGTCTCTTTCCTCATTCTTTCTCCTCTACCCCCTCCGTTACAGCTATGGCTGCGCACCCCGCTGGGTATCACCTCCTTTCCCTACGCTGACCCGTTTAACCCCCCCCCCCCTCCCCCCTCTCCCTCCCCCACCCGTGCAGCTGTGGCTGCGCGCCTCCCTGGTTTCTCTGGAGCCGGAGGCAGCAGAGGGAATTGTTTGAGGCGCCTCAACAATCATTTCCTTCTCCCCGTCTTCTCCCCCCACTCCTCGTTTTCTCTTCCCCCCCCCCCCCCACCACGTGCAGCTGTGGCTGCGCATCCCCTGGTGTCTCGGAGCTGCAGCAGCAGAGGGCACGCCAGAGGAGGATGCCGTGATGATGGTGAGAGGGAGGGTGGTTTCAGGGAAGGATGGGAGATGGTGTGATCATGCATTGCACGCAGTGAGGTCGTGGTTGCAGTATTACACGGGTTTCTTTTCTGCTGGTGGTTGCAGTATTGTGGTGTGTTTCGATGCGGTTCTGAACCCCTGCCCTGCCTTCCTGGTGACTTTTGAGTCGACTCAAAGTTCACCTGGTTGCAGTGTTGTGCTGTGGTGTGCTGCGCTGCAGTGTGCTGCGATGCCATTCTGAACCCCTGCCTGGCTGCCTTCCTGGCATTCTCTCCACCTGGCCTCTTCCAGCCATGCGCCCCTCCCTGATCTGTGTCAACTCTGCTCTGCTGCCCGCACACGTCTGGTGCCCCCTCGCATGCCAGACACTGCTGCCACGCACGTCTCACGGGGGCACGATCCATATCCTCTGTGCCGGTCCTCGCTGCCACGCTACCTGGGGGCAGAAGGCACGCCTGTGGAAGATGCGGCCATGATGGAGAGGGGTCAGGGCACAGGAGACATGAGCACGGCCGAGTCAAGCCTGGCTCGCCTCGAGCCAAGCTCGGGTAGGCTCGTCTCCTCCTCCTCTGAACCGAGCCGGACCAGCCTTGCACGAGCCAAGCCAACGGAATGCCCGGCTCATGGCTCATGAAGTGGAGGAGCGGGGGTCGCTCAAGCCGAGAGCCGGTGTGGAGCGCCTTCTGCTGCCGGGACGCCTGCTGGGAGTGCAACATGAACTGCATGCTCATCAAGAGTGGTGGAACGCCTCTCGGCTGCCTCTGTCTCATCACTCTCCCCTTTCCCCTCTGTCCTCTCCTCAACTCCCCCCCTTCACTAACGCAGCAACGGGACCCCAACCACCAACCGCATGTTGAACGACAGCTGGGAGTGGTGGAACGCCTTCCGCTGCCTCTGGCGAGCACCATGGCCACCTCTCAGTCGCTCTTGACATCACGTGAGTGCGTGCGGGCTGCTGCCTAAACCCTGAAACCTGAAAACCTGAAACCCTAACGACATCTAGGAGTGGTGGAATGCTTTCCGCTGCCTCTGCGAGCACCACGGGCACCTCTCGGTGGCTCTTGACATCACGTGAGTGGCGCCGGTCTTATCCTGATTGATACCCAGAGCCTTAAACCTCAAACCCTTGGTGACAGTTCGGGCAGTGGTGGAACTTCTTTCTTCTCGTCCGTGCGAGCACCATGGCCACCTCTCATTGGCGCTCGACATCACGTGAGTAAGCTTGGCTGGTCTAAACCCCAAACCCAGGGCCATAAAGAGTAACTCCTTCCTTAAACGATAGCTGGGAATGGCCGCACGTCTTCCGCTGTCTCTGCGAGCACCACGGGCACCTTGCTGTCATGCTCGATCGTACTACTTGAGTAGTGGAGCTGCCTTCACAGCTGGGAGTGGTGGGACCCCTTCCGCTGTCGCAGTGGCACTCTGCCTATCTGCCTATCTGTCTATATACCTCAAAGAAGCAGCAGCTTTGCTCCTCAACACCGAGAACAGAGTTGGTTTTTGAGAATGCTAAAAAACCACAAGACCTCCCAGAAGCGGCAGCTTTGCTCCTCAAACGCTGAGAACAGAGCAGCTGCTTCTGGAGCTACACAGGGCCGTTTGGCCCCACCAATCTCATCCTCCCATCCCCTTCTCTGCTCTGCCTGCCTACCCCCACCACCACTGCCTTCACCCACAACAGTTGTATTTTGAGTCGACTCAAAATACAATTGGCCCCTACCAAACTCATCCTCCATCCCCTTCTCTGCTCTGCCTACCCCACCACCACTGCCTTCACCACAACAACCCCACACCCGCGCCCCCATGCCCCTGCATTCCCGCCGCTCCTTGCTCCCTTGCAGCGGGTCACTCCCTCTCCTGCTGCCTTGCACCGGTGGCTGGGGGAGCCAGTCAGAGCAGCCATCCTGCACACGTCGGTACGTTCAGAACCCCCGCTGTCATCTTTCCTTTACAAGCATGGGTGGGTAAGGCCGAGCAGCCACGGGTGACGGAGCCACCACGGGTACAAACAAGCCAGACAGAGCAGCCATTCTGCACATGGCGGTACGACGAGACATGGTTAACCCTGTCCGCCCGTTCTTCGCTTTCTCCCCTCTTGTGCTTATCGCTCCGCTTGCTTTCTCCCCCCATGCCCCTCGTTTCCTCCCTCACCGCTCCCTCCTTTTTTGAGGCGCCTCAAAAATAGACCCCCCATGCCCTCTTTTCCTTCCTCAGCACTCCTTCCTTCCTTCCTTGCTTCCTTCCTTGCTTCCTTGCTTGTCCTTGGCGCCACTCCTCTCTCCTCCACTCTCCTTTGCTCTTCCTTCCGTCTCCCACCTCCCGCCCTTCCTTGTCCTCCTCTCATCCTTGTCCCTCCTCCTCCCCTATCTGCTCCTGCTGCCTCGCAGGCCTTCCTCACCAACAAGAAGGGCCACCCGTGTCTCGGCAAGAAGCCTAGTTTTGAGGCGCCTCAAAACTAGACTCCTCACCAACAAGAAGGGCTACCCGTGTCTCTGCAAGAAGCACGTCCCGATGTATCGCAAATCACTCGCTCCTTCCTTCCCCCCCTTGTCGTTTGTGCTGTTACCCATCTTTCTTGCCTCCAGGCCTTCCTCACCAACAAGAAGGGCTACCCGTGTCTCTCCAAGAAGCACCAGGCGCTCATCCACACTCTCTTCAACCACTCTGTGCAAGTAAGCTCCCTCCCTCTCTCTCTCACCCCTTCTCTTCCCTCCTGCCTTTCCCTACCCTGCCTCTTCCCTACCTGCCTCTTCCTACCCCTGCTCTTCCCTACCCTTTTCTCTCCAAACCCCCACTCCAACCCTTCCCTCTCCCCCACGGTTCCTCTGACGCCTCCTCATTTCCCACTACTTGTTTCTTGCCATCCCTGGGGAATGATTTCTTCTCCGTGTCGCGTCACTGCCCCCACCCTTTGCATGAGGAGTCTATTTTTGAGGCGCCTCAAAAATGATTTCTGCTCCGGCTGTCGCGTCACTGCCCCCACCATTTGCAGACCGTGGTACGCGGTCAGCCCCTGCACTGCGCTGCACAGCCCGTATGACCGCGTACCAGTGCAGTCAGCCCCCTCACTTTCCCTCTTTGTGACTCTGATCTCGTTGCCTCTATCCCCCCTTCCCCAACCCTCTCCACCAATCCTCTTTGCAGATAGTGATTTGCGGCCAGCCCTGCACGGCCCTCTGACTCCCCCCATGACGCGTCCGCGGGGAGCGACGACAGCGGCAACGAGGGGAGCGATGGGGGTGAGTGAGAATGTGATTATAACGAGACGTGTTTGTAACGAATGGTGTCGATACCTGGGCAACCCCCTCTGACTCTCCCCCATGGATGCACTTGCGGGGAGCGATGACAGCGACAAGGAGGGAATGCGAGTGATTGTGATTATAATCATGTTCGATTGTAACAGGACGTGGCTTTAACGAGTGGTGTATCTATCGATCCCTCTGCTCCCCACCCCTCCGTTCAAGCGATCCCATTCCCTTCCCCTGAGCACTCTCTGCGCCTCTACCTCCCTCGAGTACATCGCCATCTCTCTGCGCCTCTACCTCCCTCGAGTACATCGCCCATCTCTCTGCGCCTCTACTCCCTCGAGTACATCGCCCATCTCTCTGCGCCTCTACCTCCCTCGAGTACATCGCCCATCTCTCCCACCATCCCTTTTTCTCATCCTCTCCCACCTTTTCCTTTCCATCCCCCCCCCCCCCTTCCTTCCCTTATCTCTGCCCTTCTCCTCCACTACTCTGCTCTCCCCTCTTCCCCCCCCCCCCCCCACTCCCCTCTCCTACAGCGATGCTGTGATCCCCAACCCCACTGCGCCTATACCTGGAGTACAATCGCGCACCTCTACCGCAAGCTGACCCGCTAACAGAGCAGGAGAGATTTGAGGTGATTGTGCCGTGTGTGTGTGCGCTGTTATGGTTGGGTGGATTGAGAATGATAAAAAAAATACCCACTCTCTGCCGTTCCATCCGCTCTCCTTCTACTTCTTTCCATCCTCCCCTATCCCAAATTACCACGGTCCGTCTGTCCCTTCTTCCGTTCGCACAAGTTGTCCTCTCGTTCTGTTCCCCCTTCGTTCGAGGCATGTAATACAAACCTATTCTCCCCCTCTTCCGTTTCTGTTATCCTCTCCCCTCCCTCCTCCCTCCGTTCCCCCACCTTCCCCACTCTCCCCCACTCTCCCCACTCTCCTCCCCTCCTGCCCGACTTTGCCCCCCTCATGTCAGAACCGGGATTTCCTGCAAGCCCTCTTCAGGTGAATCTCATTTCCAGGTGAATTTATGACTTCAGGTGCATTTTTCTATGTATCTCCCACCGCACCAACCACCCCTGCCTGACCATCTGCCACCGCTCTCACCCGTCCTCTCACCCGTCGTCTTCTCACCTGTGGTCTTCTCACCTGTGGTCTTCTCACCTGTGGTCTTCTCACCTGTGGTCTTCTCATGTGTCTTCTCACCTGTGGTCTTCTCACCTGTGGTCTTCTCACTGTGGTCTTCTCACCTGTGGTCTTCACCTGTGGTCTCTCACCCACCCTCTGCTCATGGACAATGTCGAGGCACAGTCATACAGAGCCTCGAGCGCATGAGAAAGAATCATTCCCCCGCCTGACCAACTCTGCCTGACCACCTCCATCACCCCTCGTTCTCCTCATCTCTCTACACCTAAGCCTGGAAAACGAGTTCCGAATCCGAATACGAGTACTTTAGACGAGTATTTAGCGAGTAACATGCCTGACTCTTATTCGTTTGAGTGTCACAAACAGAACGAATACGAATGCGAATGCGAATACGAGTACTACCGTTTTTAAGGGATCAGGATAGGAATAGGCCTACCCAAACCAGTCAGACTGAGTAGCACTGGCAGTAGTTGTGCAGGAGGGTGGAAGATAATACGCAAGTAAAATAGAGTTCTTTGTAGAAAAGGTGGCGAGTAGTAAACGAGTTGTACTGGCGAATAGTCGAGTACAAAAATCCGAGTAGTAGGCGTGTATTAAAACCCTACAGCAAAAAGCAGTATCTAGATGGGATGGACCCTCTTGATCAGGGCCCTTGTTTGTTTGTCGAGGTGCTTTTCTTTTTTTCGGAGCTGGGCAGCAGCCCAACATTCGATAAACAGAACAAACCTAGGTGGCATATTTGTCGCGACAATGTGCCTCGCGAATTTTGTTCGCGTCATGCATCGTGGGCTGCATGACGTGGCACGTGATTTTGCCACGTCAAATAGGCCCCACTTGAACATCAAGTGGGCGCCACTTGTTTTCCGCCCTGGGAACGCACGAAAAACAGAATAGCAGGGGTCGATCTTTAACCCCCCTGCAGAAAAAGCGAGGCCAGGTGGCGTGACAAATGTCGCAGGGGGCTGCACGAAGTGCCAGGCTGTCAATATTTTTTCGCGTCGAGCCCGCATTGGCTAGTACTTTTCGCGCAGCCAATAGCATTTATGCAATCCTTTTTTTTTTTTCCGACAGTTCCAAAGCTCTGGGCACGGGACGTTTCGTTTTTCGCCAGGTTTCGGGACTTCGTTTTTTTGCACCCACTCAACTATCAAGAGGGACCCCCTCTATTTTGCCGTCGGGTTAACTGCTACTCGCCTCGTTTCGTTTATGAAAACGATTACGGAAACGAGTATTACTGCTAATGTCGGGTTTTAACTGCTACTCGCCTCGATTCGTTTTCAGGCTTATCCACACCCCTCTTCCTCCCGATGCCCTCTCTCTCTCTCTCAAGCCGTCCTGGCCATCGAATAAACCTGGGTACACGCTGCAGAAGATGCTTGAAAGGACACATGCATAGGGAATGACAGAGACCTCCTACAGAAACTCACATGGACTCGGCATAAGACAGCAAGAACCGAGTCCATACCGCACCGCAAGGATACCCACCATGCTCTCCTTCTCCCTCTACACCGCAGCCCCTCATGGACAACCTCGAGGCACAGACGTACGAGACGTTTGAGAAGGATGCTACCAAGTACTCTCAGGTAAGGAGGGGGTTTGGTAGCATACCACAATAGCCGCTCTTGTCCCCCCCCCTTCATCGAGTTGCGTAGAGGTAGGTAGCAATTCGTCCCTTCTTCCCCTCCCACCGTGCTCATCCCATGAGCCCTTGCCACGTTGTTGCACCCCCCTGTCTCACTCACTCACAGTACCAAAAGGCAGTGTACGCCGCACTGATGGATCGAGTGCCGGACAGCGAAGCAGAGAGCAGCACAGTGGTGAGTGCACGGGGACGACGACACATCGACTGAATTTAACTCGTTTTAATCTGGTTTGGTTCGGTTCCATAATCCAGTTGTTGCTGTAGTCTGCACCGCAGCACCATTTTCCTTCCTTGAATCCCATGCTCTTGAGAGAGATTTCTGAAAAAATCTAGAAAATCTCTCTCAAGGACCTCAACCCCCTCGCTTCGTTTTGAGAATTCTCCAAAGTCTGCAGCACCATCATCGTACTCCGTCCTTGAATCTGATGCTCTTGAATTCGTTGCCATCGGAGGAACCTTGGATCCGAACCTGGGAGGGACCCGTGATGAATTGCCCGTTTCAAGGTCGCGCAACGTTGGCTCACGTTCACGGGTTTCAGAACCCGTGACCCCCTTGAACCCTTCCCCTCCTCCCCCCTCTGCAAACCCCTCTTCCGGTTTTCACCCCCCCCCACCCCCCTCAGGTGCTCTGGTTGTGGGGCAGGCAGAGGGCCCAGTCAGAGCATCCCTGCAGGTAGGCTGCTGCTGCTGGTAGCCTATCAGATAGGCAGGTAGGCTTTCGGTCAACTTGATGGTGCTCTTGCTGGTGTGGTGTTGTCTGAACGACTGTGGATTAATCCGTGTTAAAGGTTAGCGTGTTTGAAACCCTAAACTTAAATTGTTAGTTTTCATGTGGCAATTTTTTGAGCCACCTGAACGACTCCCCTATTCCCCCTCCCCCCCTCACCATCACCCCCCTTTTCCCCAGTTTATTGCTTCCATGTTGCCCGTTGGTTGCTTGCCATGAGGAGCAGCAGCAGGAAGGATAGTGTACTGTCCTCAGAGTAGACTGTACTGTCTCTCAGATAGATACCATGCATTTGCGAGAGACGTACAGTCGTCTAAATCCTCTAAGTATTTCTGCTAAATGCTTTCCTTGCGCGTTCCCCATCCGGCGTGTGATGATCCCCCAGGCAGCAGCAGAGGCCGGGCGGAAGCTGAAGTGTATGCTGTGGAAAAGAACCCCAATGCTGTAGTCACACTGCATGTGAGGATTCATTATCCTGTATTAGTCACACTGCATGTGAGTGTTCGTTATAGTCACGCTGCATGAGTGAGTACTCACTCTAGTCCAACTGGATGCACATTTGTGATAGTCACACGGAGCATTCGTTATGGTCAGATTCTGTTGTGCCATCAACCACCATCTCCTTGTATGCCCCTCCCCAGTGTATGGTTTTGGAAACATATTTCTCCCTACCTCTACCTACAAAAAAACCACATCTTCCTTGTGTGTTCCACCATCCCCCTACCTTGTCTCTATGCTGCCAGAGCCTAGCATCGTTGGAGGCATGGTGGCAGGCAGGGCGTGGTCACCATTGCAGCTTCCAACACCAATTCCGCCTCTCCCTCTCCTAACCCGCCTATCGTTACTCTGCCTTCTGCCCCATCCCCCTCCCCCTTCTCCCTGCTGTGTTGTGCCAGAGCCTAGTGGCCCTGGAGGGTGGCAGGACGTGGTCACCATAGTCTCCTCGGACATGCGGAGGTGGAAGGCACCGGAGCTGGCGGACATCCTAGTGAGCGAGCTGCTGGGATCTTTCGGTGACAACGAGCTGTCGCCCGAGTGCCTCGACGGGGCTCAACGCTTCCTCAAGCCGGACGGCATCTCCATTCCTGCATCGTACGTACTCGCATCTATAGCGCCGATGGCTTGTATGTATTCAGTCGATTGGCCACAAAACGAGAGGAACAACAAGCTGTCGCCTGAGTGCCTGGATGAAGCCAGCCCAGCGGTTTCTGAAACCAGACGGCATCTCCATCCGTGCTTCGCACGTATCCTCTAGCATCCTTACCCTGCTCATGTGCGTTGGAGACTAGTTGTTGCCTGAGTGCGCGGATGGGCTCAGCGCTTCTTGAAGCCAGACGGCATCCCCATCCCTGCGTCGTACACATCCCTATAGTGCCAGAGCATCGTATAAACTGTTTCTGTGCTTCGTACAAGCTGCTGCTTGTTCAAAGCAACCGTACAAAGCAACGGGTACATAACCAGGCGGCAGCATCTGCATTCCTGCCTCGTATCGTATGCTCTCTCGCCTCCATCCTCTACATTACAAGCCCTCCTCCCTCACCTGTCCCACCCTTCTTCGTTCCATGGGTGGTTTTGTTGCCTGTTGTTCCTTTCGTCTTCTTTTGAGGCGCCTCAAAAGCCCACCCTGTTGTTCCTTTCGTCTTCTTTTGAGGCGCCTCAAAAGCCCACCCTGTTGTTCCTTTTGTCTTCTTTTGAGGCGCCTCAAAAGCCCACCCTGTTGTTCCTTTCGTCTTCTTTTGAGGCGCCTCAAAAGCCCACGCTGTTGTTCCTTTTGTCTTCTCATCCTTCCTGCCGTACCTCTTCTTTTGAGTCGATTCAACAGCAGACTCATTACACGCGGTTTCTTCTGATCCTTCTTGCTCTACCTCTTCTTTCTCAATTGCCCCCATCTGCTCGGCTCTGCTCTGCTCTTATCTGCAGGTACATGAGCTACATGAGCTACATTGGCCCATCATGTCATCCAAGCTGGCGTTCTCTGCTTCCTCTAATCCGTCTTGCTTTATTCCCTCATCCGCTTTTCTCCGCTCTCTTCTGCTCTGCCCTGCAGGTACACGAGCTACATCGGCCCATCACATCATCCAAGCTACACAATGACGTAAGTTTCTAGTTTTCTACCAAAGTGGACAGTGTGTGCGTGACTGGGCCTAATAGCCTGTCTTTTTGCGCCAGCCTGTCTTTTTGCGCCAGCCTGACTGTTGAGATAGGCCCTTTTCAAATAGGTAAGCTTTCCCCCGGCCACTCGAAACCCTCCGGTGAAGGGCGACTGGCTGGGCGTACTTTGAGATGGCAGGTGGTGAAGCTGCACCCCTCTTCCTCCCCCCTCCCCTTCTACCCTCATCCTCGCTTCTTTGCCCCCCCCTTTCACTCCTCCGCAGGTGAAGGGGTACAACGACCTGGCGCACTTTGAGACGGCCTATGTGGTGAAGCTGCACAGCGCTGCCCGGCTGACGGAGCCTAAAGAAGTGAGCGAAGGGCGATTGGGGCAGGGGCATGGGGCATGGGGCTTGGGGCATGGGGCACGGGTCAAGAGGCTGACATAACCCACTTTCCTGTCCCCAGGTCTTCGCGTTCACCCATCCCAACCCCCAAGAACCCATCAACAACACCAGATACACACACTCACTCTCTCCTCTCCTCTCCTCTTCTCGTCTTCTCCCCTCCCCTATGTCCTCTCTCCTCCCTTCTCCCGACCCCCCTCCCCAGGTTTTCACCTTCACCCATCCCAACCACCAAGAACCCATCGACAACACCAGATACAAGCGGTTGCTCTTTGACCTGCCGCCTGACACTGGATCTGCACTAGTGCACGGTGGGTGGGTTCAGCTCATTTTAGGGTGTGGTTGGGTGATTTTATGACACTGGGTCTGCTTTTGAGTCGACTCAAGAGTCACCTCGATTTGATGACACTGGGTCTGCTCTAGTGCATGCATGTTAGGTTCGCCTCTAGTGCATGGTGGGTTTGCCTCTATTTCACGGTAGGGTATGGCCGGGTATGGCTGGGTATTGCTGGGTATGCTGGGTATGGCTGGGTATGGCTGGATATGTGGATACTCTTGACACAAAATACAAGTGCCCGCATCTGGCCACTGAACCTCCACCCTTTCTCATGTCCCCCTTTTCCCATCTCCCCTCTTGGGCAACTTCCAGAGTTCGGAGCTTACTTGTACGCACAAGGGTGAAGTGAAGGTTACTTCTCCCCTCTATGGCGATGTGGATTTGGTGTGGGCATTCAAACCTCCACTCCACCCTTCTCGTCGCCGCCTTATCTCCCCCTTTTCTCATCTCCCTCTTCTCATCTCCCATTTCTCCCCCATCTCCCCTCTCCCCATACTGCAGGATTCGGAGGTTATTTCGACGCTGTGCTCTACGGCGATGTGCATTTGGGGATCGAGCCATCCACCGCCACCCCTTCCCATGTTCAGCTGGTGAGGCTTGCTTCTCCGCATCACATTCTCACTGGTCCTTTCCATTTCTCGCTGGTCTCTCAGTTTTCTCCTTCTTTCCTTCTGCGTCTGGGCATCCAAGCCTCCATCGCCACCCGTTGCATGTTCAGCTGGTGAGTGCACCCCTCTCCCTCTCTTTCTCTCTTGCGCTCTTGCAGTCCCCCATCCACGTGTGCAGGCTTTCAAACCCCTTCACTCTCTGCGTCTCAGCCTACTTCCCCACCTCCCAATTTCCCACCGGTCTTTCCCCTCCAGGTTCCCCATACTCTTCCCTCTCTGCTTCCGTGTGTCCACTCCTCAAACCCCAAGCAGTTAACTCATCCTTCATCTCCCCTTCTCGCGTGCCCCCTTTCCCCACCCCACCCCCTTCCTCGTCCACCCCCACCCCCCCCAGGTTCCCCATTTTCTTCCCTCTCCGATTCCCCGTATACGTGCCGGCGGGGGAGAAGCTAGAAGTCCACTTCTGGAGATGCGTCGGCCCCACTAAGGTGATACTAATGAGCTGGCCCAATAATTGGGATAGTGATGCGTTGGCCTTACTAGGGTGATACTAACGAGTTGGCCCATAATGGGGATCCTAATGAGTTGTCTCCACTAAGGTGATACCAATGGCTGGCACCACTAAGGTGATATTAATGATTGTTGGCACCACGAAGTGATACTAAAGAGTTGGCCCCCAGTGAGGTGATACTAATGCAATAACTCCTTTAGCAGGTGGTGCTGATGTGTTGGCCCCTCCATAAGGTATCAGTATGTGGTGAAGGGTGAAGCCACCCATAGTGAATGGTTGTCTGTTGTTTCTCGTTTCCCATGCTCTCTCCCTCCCTCCCTCCCTCCCTCCCCCTTCCCCCGATTCCCTCTCACTCACTTTATTCCCCTTGTTCTAAAGCCCTCCTCCCCTCCCTCCCACCCCACCCCAGTCCATGTGGCTCTCCTTGTGTCTCTCCAATGCAGCACATCGTGTCTCCTCTCAAGTGTGTGTGTGTGTGCATGTTCCTGTGTTTCTACCCTACGTCCTGTCCTTATCCTCACCAGGTGTGGTATGAGTGGGCAGTCACAGCACCTTCTATGTCGCCTGTCCACAACCCTAATGGCCGATCGTACTGGGTTGGATTGTAGCTTATGGCATAAACCCAGTCGTTGTAACTCTTCTTTGAGGATCACTAGGTTGATGCGCTTCCTCGAATAGTGGTCTTTATGAATTTCCCAATTCTTTCAAGAAATTAATGCGTTGTGATTCACACTCGAGCCTTTTGCTGAGGTGGAGTTCAGTTAAGTACGTTGGATTTGTTAGGGCTACAAACAACACTCAATTTGTGCTAAGGGCTATATATTTGCGTTCTGTGGATCACCGTACTATCTCAATCTTTTTGACGAGGACGCTTGTAGCGCGCTAAGAGACGCATGTGGCTGTTGCGCAGCAATTTGCAAAGCCAAGTCGCTTTTCTTGCGTCTGCTTGGCTGCGGGGCAGAGAAGACATCGAGGCTGATCCAGGCAAAAGGCGCCCAAGCGCGTTCAACGTTCAAATTTCAAGAAATTGACCACACAGGATCCTCCAGAGCGAGCACCATACCGTATCGTCCTAAATCCCCTTCTTGAGATTTGTCGCGAAGCCTGTTGTCCATTGGTCGATACGCCACGCCAAGGGTTGCCTTGCCTTGCCATTCCAATTTCGTGGCCAGAGTTGGGATGCACGACTCGAGAAAGCTTGAGAGAAGCAGTCCTTGCTCCCCACAAAAAATACTGTGCGGTGAAGTGTGTTTCCTTGACGGTTCTGTGAGTCAGAGCGCGGTGCTCCAACTCCTCGAAGGATGTGATTCAAAGGCACAACAGCTGCTCCTCCCTCCTGTGTCTGATTTACGCCCTCGACTGAAGGAAGTCGAGAAAGAAGCAACGCAACGAGGTGCGCGCTGAGTTGGGTTTAGCCGTCAACCATGTGCTCCATACTGTCTCCATACGGAGACGAACGCTGCATCCAAGTCCCCATATCCATGCTAGTTTAGTCAAGCATGTGAACGACATGAGACAGCAAATTCGAGTTAAGGATACGGCACATAGTCGCAAAGGGAAGGGGTGAGTGGGTGGGGGAGGGGAGAGGGCGGGTGTCGAGAACCTATGATGGTCGAGGTTAAAATTCTGCATATCAGAACGGACAGAATACCAGCACCACAGGTCAGCCACACTAGCAACACCCAGGAAAAACCGACTCCAGTGCTCTGAAAGCCACCTACCATATACAGATGAACACCCACTGGGTGGCACCTTCTGATTATTAGGCAATATCACCCACAGGCTACCATTCTCGCGGAGCTACCCGCCAGAAGTAGGAGGCTCTCACCGGCACCCCTTCTGACTATTCTTCTGGAATCGAATCCCCTGGGTCTAGCGTGCTGCTGCGCCAGCTGCGCCAGCAGTACCAGCCTGATCGCCTCCTTTGCCTCGGAGCACCTTCTCCTATGAAGCACCGCCTTTCCCTTTCGCTTTCTTCTCCCCAGCATCATCGGTGCGCTTGATATTCCTGATATTTTTTTATAATATGATTTCTCTGACATCATTATCGCCCTTGCCGCCTCGCCATTTCCCGACCAGCTTCGAAGGCTTCACACGCTCGTCGCCGCGCTTGCCCTTACCGCTTCTGCTCCCCTCCTCGCGATTATTGCTATCGCTTTGAGAAGCTTTCTTTGTCTTCGTCTCTTCCTCCGAGGAGTCGTCCTTCAGCCGCCCCACGCCGCTTGCCGTTTCGCGAGCACTCTGATTCTTGATCTCCGTCCCAATAGTCGAGTTCTTATTCATGGTAGTAGTAGGAAGAGGGGTATTCGACGCTTCGGTCGCGTTCTTACTAGTCGTCGTTGGCCGATTCGAACTCTTCGACGAGACAGCTGCGTGGGATGCCGAAGCGCCATCATCCGACAGTTCCGCGGCCGGCGTGGAATCCGAGTCCCCCGAATCCTCCGACTCCCCCGACTCCCCACTGTTCCCGTCCGCCATCGCCCGCAGGAGCACCAGCGAGCTGAAGTCCTCCGCCGAGCGCAGGTTCAGGTCCTCCGCGCCCGTCACTCTCCGCCGATGCGGGGGGAAGCGCGCGCGGGATCGTCCTTCGACCTCCGCCGCGCGGCTTCTTGCGCCTTCAGCACCGCGGCTCTGTGCAGGCGGGACGAACGTGGGATGCGGCCGAAGCATCCCCGCGTGCCGCGCCTTAATCACGCAATCACTCCCGCCATCACGCAATTTCTCGCCGTCAGCGGCGGCGGCGGCGGCGGAGTCATCGGCACTAGAACCGGCGATGTTGCTCGTGATCATATTCTCTGATCGGACCGCGCAGGGGACCACATGATGCACGCGGATTCGCGGCGCTCTGGTGATGACGTCATCGTTAGATCCGTCAACGGTGAGCGATTGAGCTTGCTGCGGGATGACGGTGGCGAGCAGCAACGACGCGGCGACGACGAATCGTACGGCTGCTGCGGGCGATGGTGCGACAAAGTTACTCTGCCCGTCACGGTTACTACGAAAGATCAGTGTCAATATCATGCCGTCCGTTCTCTTGTGCCGTGTGACGAGGATTGCACGGAGAGGGGTGTGACCCAGGTAGTTCGGAAGAAGGAAACAGGGTAACAGCCTGTTACGCGTCAGAACTCCAAGTTGGCGCACGACCAAAGAGACCAATCACACCGCCACGGATTCCGGCCTAGCCGCCTGGGTAACGACGGAGCTCTTAGTAAAACTAGGGTCCGGGAAAGGCAACGGACGAGATACTTTCACGGGAATGTCAATATTCATCGGCCCTCAAACTGGCGGGATTGCGAGTGAAGTTAAACCTCTGGCGTTCGGCGTTCTGTAGAAGCCTGAAGCTCTTGAAGATTCCACTTCATTTGGTGAGGGCGCTTCGCGACCCGACGCTTTCGCTAATCTGTCTTGACAACGAGGGCTCCCAGAAAGAGAACTAGGAAGAGCTTATCGGAAGAAATTCGACTGCCATTTCACTGCCGATTGCTTGTGCGAGTGAGCAAGACGCCAGCTGAACAGCACGCGACGTGATTGCAGGTTTAGCTCCCCTCTTCTTTCCCCAAGACTCCGGAACACGTTCTTCCAAAACGGTGAGATCTGTTTCGAATGGAGCTTGGATGGTCTGAGCATCACGCAGGGCCTGGAAAGCACCGTCGAGCCGCTTGACTAATTGACTACGCACTCATGCATTCAGGGAGGACAGGGTCTCAGGCAAAACGACTGGGGAACTAAGCTTTTGTGGGGGTCACACAGCGTTTTCAATTTGGTTCTGAAAGGTTTTAAGCATTCTCGAAAAATTCAGTACGGTTCTCTGGTCTAAACTTCGGTTCCTGCTCCTCGTAGTCGTGCTCTAGGAGGGGAGTCTGGAAGGGCCACAGTAACACAGTGGTAAAACCGAGAGGAACCGAACATTATGTAAACGAAAACCCTTACAAACCGAAGGAAAATCGCAGCCTGTCATAAAAAATGGAGACAAAAGGGCCCAGTGGGGGAGGGAAGAAAGTTGTCAAGGGCGAGAGTGAGGCACAGAGACCAAGTTGAGTTGCCGTTGGACAGTTGGCGTACTTGCTTGAATTCAGCGTGGCGAAAAGACAAATTTCGCGAACAAAAACATGCTTCATTCTCTCCCAACTCCCTCGCCAACCTCGCCAACACCCAACTATCTCTACGGATTCAGGGCTTTAAGATTCTATAGTCACTCTCCCCTATTGTATCCTGCGCTATACTCTTGAGTTATATTTCATAACATAAGGGATATTATAGGTGTTAGCGAATCTGCCTTACACTTGCAAGTAAGTATATGCCCTTATACACAAGACAAAAGATTGCAAAATATCTTTATCACCCAACACCTAGAGCTCTAGGTGCTGCTTCATAAATTCCATTGTAAATATTGTCAACATATATTTGTATATGTTTATAGGCTAGATAGGTGTATGCTCCTAGGGAGTACAACACCATAGCACAAAACCTCCATGTATGCATCTTTCTAGTCATTGCCTTATTCTGAGATGGTCTCACGCCAGGTTAGGTCCCCCTCCCCGCTTACGCTTCCGCCCTTAGCCCTAGCCCTAGCCCTAGCCCTAGCCCTAGCCCTAGTCCTAGCTGCGCCCTAGCCCTAGCCCTACCCGTGCCGTGCCGCGCCCAAGCCGCGCCCACGCCCTGGCCCTAGCCGCACCCGAGCCGCGCCCGCACCGCCCCCGTCGTCCGCGTCGCCCGCGCCGTCCGCACCCGAGCCGGCCCCGCTAGTCCGCGCCGGGCCCCGTCCCTTCGTGCCGGCCCCGTCACTCCCGCGCCAGCCCCGTTACTCCGCGCCAGCCCCGTCGCTCCGCGCCGGCCCCGCTAGTCCGTGACGGCCCCCGCCAGACCACGCCGGCCCCACCACTCCGTGCCGGTCTAACTAGACCGCGCCGGCCCCGACATTCCGCGCCGGCCCTACCACTTCGCGCCGGCCTCGCCACTTCGCGCCAACCCCGCCACTTCGCGCCAAGCCCCTGTCGTCGCACCACGCCGCCGAGCTGCTGAGCCGCCGAGCCACCGCACCGTGCCGCTGAGCTGCCGAGCCGCCGTGCCGCCTAGTCGCGGTGCTGGCCGAACCGCCGAGTCGCCGAGCCGCCGAGTCACCGAGCCGCCAAGCCGTTGCGCCGCCGTGTCGCCGAGCCGCCCCGACCCGCCCGCCATGGTCCCCTCCTCTTGCGCCGGCGCTTCCGCCGCCCGTCTCCATCGCCGCTCTCCACCACTCCCCACCGCTCTCTCCTCCTCCTCTAGCGGCGGTCAGCTGCTGCAGCCGTAACGATGGCGGACGCTATGCTCCGCATGGACGCGGCGGGTCGAGCGATCGACTTTGAGGCGTGGCTTGCCAGCCTTCGTCGCTCGATGAGGGACAACGCCAGGATGGCCAGTCTCTGGCCGTCCACACCGACGTTAAGATCCCCGGCCCCGACCTGCCTGCTGCCCTCTCTGATGCTCCCATGCCCGCTGAGCGTGAAGCCTTTGCAGCTGCTAAGCTCCCCCGCTCTGTCTAGGAGTCGCGTGACACAGTTGCGCAGCTTGCTATCAGTCGCGCCCTCCCCCTGTCCGAGCGCCCCCGCTACCAGGCCCTAGAGACAGCAAAGGACTACTTAGATGCCGTCATTACATGCTATTCCAATCCCTCCTCTGCCTTCTCCGGTCGTCTTCTTCTCCCCCTGCTCTTCCCTGACCTTGCGTCCTTTCCCACTGTCGCTGATCTCGCCACTCACCTGCGCGTGCTAGAGGCTAGCTACCGCGCTGCTAGCACTAAGGCTTAGCTCCTTGTACTGCCCCCCCCCTCGGCGATACCCTCTACTTCCTTGCCACGCGCCTTCTTGACCGCCAGGCCACTGGCCCGTGACCACTTCCTTGGCCTCCACCCCGCTGACCTCACCCTTGTCGACTTTGGTCACTACCCTGACCGCGATGGAGACCCGCCAATGCACTATCGCTTACTCGAGCGGTACTGCAGCGGTCTCTATCTTCTAGGGTTCTGCTCCCTCCCAGTGCACTTACTAAGACGTCTCTGCTGCTGTTGCTGCTGAGACCGCTGTGGCGGCCTCAGCGCAGTCTTGTCAGGGTAGGGGACGCCGGGCCCGGGGGGGGCGTGGGCAGCGGGAGGGGTGGCAAGGGTGGCGAGGGTGGCGAGGGTGGTGGGGGTGGCAGATGTGGCAGAGGTAGTGGAGGGGACAGTGGTGCAGACGAGGGGACCGGGGCTGGTGCCCCGGCGCAGCAGCAGCCCCAGCAGCAGCAGCAGCAGCCATGGGGACCCCCGCCGCTGTGGTGGCCCTAGAGGCTCTGGTGGTGGTGGTCGTGGTGTCGGCCGCGCAGCTCGGGTGTCGGGTGGCGGCTCTAGTGTGGTGACCTACCAGTACCAGCTTCAATCCGGCTCCTGCCGCGGCACCGTCTGCGACCGTCCCGGTCACATCGCCGCTCGCTGCTACCGCCGCCTCGACGAACTCTTCCGTCTCCGGTTCGGCCCTGTGTCGCCCCCCCCGACTGGCACGGCCTGGTACGTTCGCCGTGTGGCCAATCTTTGAGATGGATATGGATCGGATTTGCTCTGCCTGATATGTCATATATGCTGATGACTCTAACGTGACTGGACCTAATTACCCCGTGTTGCGTATCGTAGGTGTTCCACAGTGTATAGTCTAGGCTCCCCTGCTCCGTCAGGCGTAGGACCTCGTGCTTTGTTTAGCCTAGGCTCCACCCTAGTCCCTCCGCCGGTTAACGCTACTGCCGCACTCTCCTTCACGCTTGACTCTGGCTCGTCCCACTGCTTCTTTCGTGACCAGACTGCGCTCACACCGCTTGTTGCCCCTGCAGTTTTCGCTCTTGCTGACTCCGCTTCCGGTCGGTAGTTGCACGTAGCTCCACCACCCTTCCCTGTCTGACGGCTCCTTGGGTTTGCTTACAGGTGTGCACCTCCCCTCGTTCTCCAGGAAAACTAGTGAGTATCAGCCATCTTCAGGACATCAGCGTCACCACTACGTTTCCTGTACTACTCCTCTAGACACAAGCGGTACGCAGCCTGTACTGAGGCTGCCACTGGTGCCCCTCTCATCACATTCCCTCGGGACCTGGTGTCTAGCCCGTTTATGCTTGACATCGCGTCCCCCCTGGTGAGGGCGTCTCCCCAGGTGGCCGCACCCTCCCAGGTCGCTGCGGCTTGCTCGTGTCGGTCGCTCACTCACCCGACTCTTCTGTGGCACCACCACCGAGGTCACCCCGCACTCCAACACCTGCGTCACATGTCCCAGCACTGTCACAGGATCGAATGTGTCGAGGAAAAGTTGCACTATCAATTGATACAAGGCGCTTTTATAGTTCCAAAGTACATCAGGTAACCAGGTTTATCCTATCCAAAGGGAATAGACCCTTCTAGAAATAGAATCTCCCTGCGTATAGCCATGCGAGGCTATTGGCTTTAAGGGATTACGACAGGTTTACGCTAGATAGAGCGCGCGAGTACATCTCGAGCCTGGTCGGTGATATAATCATAATAACATGACAAACCAAAGGATAATGGAAAATGGAATAGGAAACCAAATGAGATGAGAGAAAAAGAGGAATGCGATAGAAAGGAAATATGGAAAATGGGAATTGGTATAACGGGGTCGTTCTCTCACACTTCCCCCCCTCAAAGCTGGGTGGTAGAAGTAACACCCTGCTTGATAAGGTAGTCGCGAAGAGGACGACGGGCGTTACCCATCTCGGATTCAGGAACCCAAGAGTCCTCAGAAGGATCATAACCCTTCCAACAGATGAGAAACTCCACGGTGCCATTCCGTCGACGGTGGTGTGCAAACACGGACTCGACCTCGTACTCGGGTTCATCGTGGATGAGGACGGGCGGCGGCGGCGGCGGTTGGCGTCCGGTGAAGACCGTGTTAGGGTCGCGATAGGGCTTCAGAAGTTGGACATGGAAGGCGTTGTGAATCTTCCAGGTAGTTGGTAGGCGTAAGCGGAAGGTAGCAGGAGTAACCTGTGCTTCAACGAGAAAGGGCCCGCAGAAGCGAGGTCGCAGTTTGGATGGGAGATGACTGATGTTGATATTGCGGGTGTCAAGTAGGACTTGGTCTCCCACGGTGATGGTGTGGTCAGTGCGGTGGCAATCGGCCTGCCGCTTCTGTTGCTGCTGAATGTCGAGAAGGCGCTTGTGGGTCCGATCCCAAAACAGATGCATGGTTGTGATGAAGTCGTGTGCGGGTTGAACTGTAGCTGATCTTGTCGGTTTTTGTGGCATGAGCGGGTGGCGTCCGTAGCAGAGGAAGAACGTTGTCTGTCCAGTAGCGGCGTGAGTGGCATTGTTGTAGGCAAACTCCAGGACGGGCAGATGCAAGTCCCATTTAGAGATTTCGTCCTTGCATGCTGCGCGGAGGAGTTGCTCCACAATTTGGTTGAGGCGCTCGGTCTGTCCATCTGTCTGCGGATGGTAGGCGGATGACATGGCGAGTTTGGTCCCGAGCAGAGACATTAGTTCCTTCCAGAACTTGCTGGTGAACTTGGGGTCTCGGTCGGAGATGAGTGTTGTGGGAATGCCATGTTGTGAGATGATGTAGCGAATGAATAGTTGTGCTGTCTCTTCGGTGCGTGCTGTCGTGTGTGTCGGGATGAAGTGTCCCATTTTGGAGAATTTGTCGATGATGACGGGGATTGCGCCATGACCGCTAGTGGTAGTTGGTAACCCGGTGATGAAATCCAGGCTAACCACTTGCCATGGCTGTTCTAGGATAGGAAGAGGCTGTAGTAGTCCTGTTTTTTTCTGCTGACATGTAGCACAGGAGGTGACGAATTGTTGGACGTCGGCTGCCATGTGGGGCCATTAGTAGTGCTCTGCAATACCGGTGAGCGTCTTGTTGCTACCGAAGTGTCCCGCGTATAGGAAATCGTGGTATTCTTCGAGTAGTAACTAGCGCCAAGGAGGGTAATTGGGTACCCAGATTTTTTATGATCCCTTCCGGTATGAGATGTCGCTGTCCCACTTTAGCATGTGCCGTTTTCTGCCAAAGGAATTTCGGGGTCGATGGCGTACCCGTGTGTGAAGAGTCCCTTGAGAAGTGGGTTCATCCCTTTGACGTGGATGGCGGCAACGTGTGCAGGTCGGCTGAGAGCGTCAGCTTTGTTTTTGTGGCCGGGCTTGTACACGATGTCATAGTGGAAGTGCGTCTCGAGGAAGTCAATCCACTGGACCTGCCGCCTGGAGAGGTTTGGTTGTGTCTTCAAATATTTCAGGCTGCAGTGGTCGGTGTAGACGGTTGTTTGTCGTCCTTCGAGATAACATCTCCACGTTTTGAAGGCGATGATAATAGCAAGGGCCTCTTTGTCGTGTATTGGGTAGTTGAGTTCTGCCCCGTGTGGTTTCTTGCTGAGGTAGGCGATTGGTTGCAGTCCATTCCCCTAGTCTTGCATCAAGACTGCTCCAGCTGCCTGGTCACTGGCGTCACCTTCGATGACGTAGTTGCATTCGGGGCTGGCAAGATGAGGACAGGCGCGGACATGAGTGGTTGTTTCAGCTGCTCCATCTACATAGAAGACCAGGTCTTCGCTACTGCAGAAAGAGATGCACTAACCTCCATGAAGGCTGAGTTGCTAAGGAGACACAGCTGCACTAACCTAGGAGAGTTGCGCCGCTACCTTGGCCTGCAGATCTCCAGGGACAGAGCGGCGCACACCATCACTCTTACACAGTCACACTTGGTGCGCCAGGTCCTTCAGAGGTTCGGTCTTTAGTTCTCCTCCGCACTGCCCACACCTCTGCCAGTAGATCACAGGCTCTTGGCACCAGTCCCTGAGGAGTCGGTAGAGCCTAGTGGTCCGTACGCAGAGATGGTGGGTTGCCTCATGTACCTGATGACTTGCACTCGTCCAGATCTCGCATACCCTCTCAGCATCCTGGCTCGCTTTGTGGCCACATGCAGACACCGACCACAGCATTGGTCGACCGCTAAGAGGGTTTTGCGTTATCTAGAAAGTACATCCGGCATGGGGCTAGTTCTAGGAGGACGCAGGCCTGTAGTCCTTACAGGGCACACAGACGCTTCGTGGGCAGACGACGCTGAGATGCTCAGGTCCTCCCAGGGCTACTGCTTTAGCCTTGGTGCAGGTGCCATCTCGTGGAGGTCCACCCACTCGTCCTCTGTTTCCCAGTCTAGCTGTGAGGCCGAGATCTACGCTGGTGCCATAGCGGCACAGGAGCTATGCTAGCTGACTTTCTTGCTCACGGACTTAGGTGAGCAGCCTAGCTCTGCCCTAGTCCTGTACGCTAACAACAGGGCCATGATCCTCCTGCGTCAGGAGCCTCGCCTAGAGGGCAGAACGAAGCACATCCAACTGCGGTACTTCCTCCTGCGTGAGCTACAGCAGCTCTGCTAGGCCCGCGTAGTACACTTGGCCTCCGGTGCTAGCACAGCTGATATCTTTACGAAGGCACTTGCACACTGTATACAGCTTGGTCTAGTTCCTGTAGCTTCTCACTTGCTAGGACCTTGATTGTGTACTATATCTTATATAATCTTGACTAGCCTTGTGGCTCCTGTTCCACTGGCTGGACTAGTAGTGTCGCCCTGGGCTGCTCTTTTTTCATGTGTACTCTTGCAGACTGGTCTTCATATCATTGCCTCAAAGGTTGCACTAGTAGTGTCACCCTGAGCTGCGTGTCTCGTGCTAGTCGTTGCCCCTTGTCTAGCGTAGTGGGCGTGTCAACATATATTTTGTATATGTTATAGGCTAGATAGGTGTAGTTACAATGACGGAAGAAACTGCCCATATCTTGACCGTTTGAGAGGTTAAAATGCGTGTGTATTTTCTATACAGACTCTTAAAAACAGCAGGCTTTAATTTACTCATAGATTGCCTCTACAGCAAGAAGAGCACATGTCATGCAGCCTAAAAGGGCACGTTTATTATGCAAAAACCAACAACAACATTCACCAAGTAGTATTCGGACAGTTTTGGCCAGATTTAAAGAAAGCATTTAACAATCCAAAATCAGTACCTAGTCCACCTCCCCTTAGCCCTAACCCTTGCCTTCACCCTCCTTGGCATACTGTTAATGAGCCCCCTGCACACATCCGCCCCAATCCCATCCCATGTCTCTTGCACCCGCTCCCAAGTCTGGAGCATCCCGTGGGGGAAGCTCTTACTTGGCAAGCTCTCTTTTGAGGTGTGCCCACAAGTGCTCTATGGGGTTGAGATCAGGGGAGGAGGAAGGCCACTTTAGGACTGAATATTGCTGCTCAGACAGCCAAGCTTGCACAAGGCGGCTCTTGTGCTTGGGGTCGTTGTCATGCTGGAAGATGACATCCGAGGGGGTTAGATGATAGAAATCGATGGTTTGTGCAAGCTCATCATGCAATATGCTTCCGTACAGCTCCCCATCCATGCGGCCATCAATCTTACACATATATCCGGGCCATCATATGTCATGCAACCCCATACCATTAATGACCCGCCCCCATGCTTGACGGTTTGCTGCACTTGGTGACCTTGCAGGGCCGCCCCGTCGCGTATCCACGCGTACTTGCGGCCATCACTGGAAAGGCGAGTGATCTTGGTCTCGTCGGACCAGATCACCCGCTTCCAATCTTCCATATCTTGATGTCGCGCTCTATTTCTAGTAGTTTTGCTGCTTCTATGCTAGTCTTCGCATGGCCGGAAGTGACTGCTCGAACCAATGAGCGCCTATCATGTACCGAGAGCATGCACGGTCGGCCGTTCCTAGGAATAATCGGCCTGACCGCTAGGCAGCTCGTGCGATGGGCGGCTTCGTGTGCGTATTTCTGTACCGTGCTCTTCCCTATTCCTAATGCCCTTGCGATTTGTTGAAAACTCTGACCTTGTCGAAGCAGGGTCGTGATCCTATCTCTTTGGCTCGAAAGAAGCGGTCGCATCATCGCTAGGAGCTTGGCGTAGTTGCCGCTGTACAGTCAAGAGAAAAAAAAAGAGCTTAGGTTGCGAGATTGCGAAATGCTGGCGGGAAATAGATCTGGACTCGATGTTGGCCTAAAGTGTCCGCATCGAGTGCCGTCCGCATATTATTGTACTCTTCACAAGAAACTCGTTTAAAGAAACTCGTTTAAAGTTACAAGTGCATTAAACAGCTGAGGTCGGGAGGCACACTATGCAATCTGTTGTTCTAGACTTATGACAACATATTGTGCATAAATCACAATGTCTATCTACTGCAATGGATTATTAAGCCCATTTATTTCCGTCACTGTAGTACAACCCCTTAGACAAAACCACCCCGTATCTCTCATTCTACTCAACAACTCTTCTCTGAGAGAGACACGCAGCTCAGGGTGGCACTACTAGTCCAACCTCTGAGACAAGGGTCCGAAGACCAGTTAGAAGAGTACAAACTAGACAAGAGCAAGCCAGGGCAGCACTACTAGTTCGGCCACTGGAAGAGAAGCCACAAGGCCAGTCAGGAGAATATATATAAGAATAGTAGTACACAAGGCCTTTCTATCCTTATTCATTTGGTCTTGATCTCATCTCATTTGGTTTCTTATTCCTCATGCTTTGGTTTCTCCTATTATTATCATTATATCACCGACCAGGCTCAGGATGTACCGGCGTGCTATATCTAGCGCAATCCTGTCGTAATCCCTTAAAGCCAATAGCCTCGTATGGCTATATGCAGGTGTCACAGGATCGAATGTCCCGAGGAAAGGTTTGCTCAATGTTTCACTATCAATCAGTACAAGGTGCTTTTATACTTCCAGATTACATCAGGTAACCAGGTTTATCCTATCCAAAGGGAATAGACCCTTCTAGAATATAGAATCACCATGCGTATAGCCACGCGAGGCTATTGGCTACAAGGGATTTCGGCAGGATTACGCTAGATATAGCGCGCCAGTACATCCCAAGCCTGGTCGGTGATATAATTATAATAACAGGATAAACCAAAGGATAATGGAAAATGAGGAATAGGAAACCAAGTGAGATGAGATAAAGACCAAATGAATCAGGATAAAAAGAGGAATGAAAGAGAAAGGAAATATGGAAAGGGGAAATTGGTGTAACGGTGTCGTACTCTCACACTTCCCCCCCTCAAAGCTGGGTGGTAGAAGTAACACCCTGCTTGACAAGGTAGTCGCGAAGAGGACGACGGGCGTTACCCATGTCGAATTCAGAGACGCAGCCTCAGAAGGATCAGAACCCTTCCACCAAAGAAGAAGCTCCAGAGTGCCATTCTGACGACGACGGTGTCCAAGCACGTAGTTGTCTCATGTCGTGGATGAACACGGGCGACGACAGTGGTTGGCATTCGGTGTAGAGCGTTTTTGGTCTTGATAGGGTTTAAGAAGCTGGTATGGAAGGTGTTATGGATCTTCCAAGTGGCTGGTAGGCGGAAGCGGAAGTTGACTGAAGTGACCTTTGCTTCAACGATGATAGACCTGCAGAAGCAAGGTTGACGCTTGGATGGAAGATGGCTGATGTCGAAATTACGGTGTGGATAACTGTAGTGATGAGTAGCCAGGTGCTTGAGCTGCTGTTGGATGTTCAAGTGGCGTGTCCGGTGTTGATGGACAACGATGATGAAATGGATTTGTCGGTTGTTGTGGTGTGAGCGGGTTGCGTCTGTAGGTGGTACGCGGATGGCGTTGATCGTGATCGAGATGCTGTACCGGAAGAGTAGATGTACTGTCCTTTCGGTGGGTGCTCTAGCTGGCACACTGTAGCATGCGTTGAGTCTCGGGTAGCACATCCTGATGTTACTCGCATCACGTCCACGTATGAAGACGATCAAGTGTTGGTGGTGTTGCAGTCGTGTCGTAGTACTGCTTCTGTAGCAGTGTTGTATCCGTTACATGCAGCTTCTGTCGAATACTGGTCCATGCCGTATTGTTGTCACGAGTCGTACCCACTCGGCATCGTAGTGCTGCGGAATGGAGAGCAGAATCACTTGTAGTAACCCTGTCCACCACGCGGTCTGCTAGTCACCCTGCCTTGAGTACAACAGCGCATGCGAAGTGCTGCTCAGCGTATCCCTTGTGTTCAGAACCATGCGAGGGGTCGGTACCACAAACGCGGAGCTGGTAACTTCCAGAATCGGCGCCAAAGTAGTTTCCCTCAGTGGTTGCTCAGGCAAGGAATCTCAGCTGCGTAGATATCCCATGGTGATGGGTTAGGATATCTGGGAACGTTACGGGCATTCCCAAGTAATCCTCTCCCATTTCCAAATGAGCATTGGTGACAGCCAATCCAGTATGACCTTATGCGCTTCCAGTTTAGCACGGAGGCCATTGGTAGGCATCGGTGTCTAGGCGCACATATTGGGATAGGTCTTCTGGTGCCATCATGTGTTGTCTCATTCTGTTACTGTCCTTGAAGTAGCGTTGATGTAGAAGATGTCTCAGCTACTCAGCATCGATGTTGAAGTCTGCTCCATTTCGGCAAACAGGGGTGTTGTTGGAGATACGCGGAGTCCACTATCCGGAGTGGCGTCGGCGCTCCATTCCACGCCTATCTGCTTCCGTGGAGTTGGTGCTGGTGATGGATTGGTTGTGACGCAGGTTTTATGACTTTAAGGAAAGCCATAGGCCATGAGGACTTGTATACCGGTAGAGTACCGTGGTC